AACCTCAGGCATGTGGAGTTGTTAATTAAATACTATGAATTTCACAGGATCGGGACAGAAACACACACAGGGCCCAAACTGTGTGTCTGCCTGTGTCATAATCACGAGATGTAGAGTCTAGCATTACAAACACTCTGAGAGAGAGAGAGAGAGAGAGAGTCACTGCCACAAGAGGCTGAAGTCTGAAGTGGTTTCCTTGGAAACGGAGGAAAAGATCCTAAGTTATTTGCTATCAGTTTAATATGCAAATGGTGAACCCAGTAACACTGGAGGGATCCTGTGTGTTTTACCTGCTGTAACAAAAAATGCAGGGTTCCATGCAATTTCTTCATGTCGTCCCAACACAAATTGATTAAATTAACTTGATACAATTTAAAAATAGAAGTGGATTGAACATAAAAACAAATAAGTTCCCCCTCAAAAAAAACTCTCAAGAATTGTGTTGATTCATTTTCCTTCAGCTTACGCCGAGTTCAGACTGCATGATTTTCAAACTAGTCGTGTCACAGATGTTTTCACACTGCATGACTATCTGGGCTTGCGTTTCGTCGTTGCTTTGTTTACACTGCAAGATGGTTCGGCGACAGGGACTTTCACATTGCATGACTTTACTATAGGGAAAATCGCCGACAACTTCGTCCAAACTACGCCTCACAGCCAAAAACACGTCGTATATCTTTTGTTATTTACTACATAATGAGAAAGAAGCCTTTAATGGGGTAGAACATGTACATGTTTGCTCACCTGGGTTTAAAGGGAATTAGCCATTTCTCCTCAACGTTGATAATAAACTAATTTCTTTCTGTATGAAACGTAAAACAGACACGGTTGCTCCCGAGTCCTGTCAAACCTCCACTAGTTTTTCCTCCATTTCGTGGATCCAAATAAACCGAAAATGAGCGCTTTTAACTTCTCCCCCAGCCTCCCGCTGGCCTGCAGCAGGTACACACACGCACACACACACAAGTGAATGCTGCTCTCTCATTGGCTGTAGGCGATCGCTGATGTTATTTTCAGTCAAAACTCAATTCACACGGCATGATTTGAATCGCCGACAGCTCCAGATATTCAGCACGCCAAATATCTCGCAGGCATCGGCGACTCATCGCCGATTCTCTCAGATCGCGTCTTTGATCGTTCATACTGTGTGATTGTCACTCACGTGCACGAGCAGCGATTTGCCTGTGATTTCAGGCATTTGTCGGCGATTTCTCAAAACCTGTCGGCGAGCCAAAATCGGGGCTAAAATCACACAGTCTGAACTAGGCATTAGTTCTTTATTTATCAGGGGTCGCCACAGCGGAATGAACCGCCAACTATTCCAGCATATGTTTTACGCATATCCAGCTGCACCCCAGTACTGGGAATCACCCATACACTCTCACATTGACACACACACACACTCATACGCTCTGGCCAATTTAGTTTATCCAATTCACTTATAGCGCATGTGCTTGGACTGTGGGGGAAACCGGAGCACCCGGAGGCAGTAGTATCTGGATGCAGCCTTGATGATGCAAGCTGAGACTGCATATCTCAGTGATGCAATGTCAGACACAATGCACTCAATGGAGCTTGTGACGTCACTATTAGGGGTAGGGTTAGGGGTGGGGTAGGGTGAGCCCATTAAAAAGCACTGGATTGCACTGCGCCTCATGTACGAAGACTTGCGTTGAATCCCACGCATATTCTCTTTGTACATCCGAATTAACGTGAAACTGAGCGCACGTGCACGAACGCAAAACCCCTCTCAGCCTCCGCCCCGTATGAATATGATAATGACTCTACTGTGGCAAAACCAAACGAAAAAGCAATGACAAAAGCAAGCAAGAAGAGAAACTTCACAGAGTGTGAATTATAGGTGCCCCTATTGAAGGTAGACTGGAGTAAACAGTGTTATTTGCAAGTGTGTCCTCTGGAATTAATAACAAAAGAAAAAAATATAGCGGGAGAGTTTAGCTGACGCGGTTAACGCAGTGGGGTCTGAACATCGCACTGTGAAGGAATTAGAAAAGAAGTGGTCCGATGTAAAGGTGCAGGTTAAGAGGAGAACAGCGGCGCACCGTCAAAGTCTGGAGCGAACAGGGGATGCTGAACTAACACCCTTTGAGGAGGAAGTTGCCTCAATTGTGGGCGACACTTTACTGTCTGGAGTAGTATCTGTGTCTGTGGGAGACACAGATGTATTAAAGGAACACTTTGTTAGGGCTGTATTGCAGCACCCCTCCACTCTTATTAAGGTAGGGCCACCAGCATTTCAGCTGCCCAATCGCCCGAGTGACCGAGTGCGAGAATGAGCATCATTGTATCTGCGCTCTTGGTCAGTGAGTGGGTTGTTGAAGGGGGTTAACAGCCTCGTCTTAAATGGATAACTGCGGTCTCTTGATGTGCAGTTAAATAATTTTGCTCAATTAAAAAAAAACTAAATAAAGACTTTAATCTCTTTAAACGCATCACTCACCAAGAAGCCACTCATCACACACCCTGCCACATTGGAGTCTACAGAGATATCGCCTTACAGTATTAAAGTCTGTTAAAGTCTACAATAGGCGACACAGTGGCGCAGTGGGTAGCACGTTCGCCTCATAGCAAGAAGGTTGCTGGGTTGCTGGTTCCTCGGCTCAGTTGGCGTTTCTGTGTGGAGTTTGCATGTTCTTCCTGCGTTCGCGTGGGTTTCCTCCTGGTGCTCCGGTTTCCCCCACAGTCCAGAGACATGTGGTACAGGTGATAGGGTAGGCTAAATTGTCCGTAGTGTATGAGTGTGTGTGAATGTGTGGATGTTTCTCAGAAATGGGTTGCGGCTGGAAGGGCATCCACTGCGTAAAAACCTGCTGGATAAGTTGGCGGTTCAATCCGCTGTGGCGACCCTGGATTAATAAAGGGACTAAGCCGACAAGAAAATGAATGAAAGCCTACAGTATTTCTCTGTTGCAATCTTGGTATCACAATAATTAACCCCAAAAAAATCAGCGCGATCACTACCAGACTGCTGTTGTGTTTGTGATAAGCAGGGGGTCTTTGGGTGTGAGGTCTCGGAATAACGTTGTTGAGAAACGGGATTGGAAAGTAACTGTATTAAAATAGGCACTGTCCTATTAATAAACTGCACATTTCTATACAAAAGAGAGAGATCGACTTAGAATATCACTTACCAGTTTAATAACGATTTGATCAGAATAAGATGTCGTTAGAAAACACACAGTTTTAATCTTCTAAGCAAGGGCTTATTATGCGGACCTGGCGCCATCTTGTGGATAGACAACGTCAACCATCTTTGGCTAATGGACACCGACGTGCTGTCTCTCAGAAATTGTAAATATTTTAAAATAGGCACTGTCCTTATAAATAAACTGCATAGTTGCAATTTAAACAACAACGTTCTCGACTAAAATAGCCCCAATAGTATGTTAAGTTGCTCAACCTGCAGGAATATTTGTCATACTTTAAAGCAGTGGTTCTCAAAGTGGGGGTAGGGACCCCCTGGGGGGTCGCGTAACAATGACAAGGGATCGCTTGGTGATTTCCAAAACTCAAATAAGTTTTATTAAACTATTTGAATGACCATATTTTACTCATAACCCACAGAAGATAATAGTTGTGTTAAATAAACAACAACATACAAATAAACAAAAACAAAATTATTATTATATTATTATTATCTATTATAAACAAATAAAAATCAGTCATCAGCCTTTACGTTTTATATTATAAATTAATAAATGAATATAAAAAATATATACAGTTAATAGACTGTTGCATTTATGTGTTGTCAATGTGCTCATGTTTATACATGCCTATAGTTGTGTCTACAAGGTTTATATATTTACAGTGTAACCAACTTGAAAAATGGGGGTCGCGAGTCACTGACATTGTTATTTTGGGGGTCGCGGGCTGAAAAGTTTGGGAACCCCTGCTGTAAAGCGTCCTCCGCTTGTATGTGGGCGGTCTTTGTGTGCTGTTACTAGCAAAATATCTCACGGCTATCAGCCAATCAGATTCAAGAACCAGACAGAACTGTTGTGTGTGTGTGTGTGTGTATATATATATATATATGTATATATATATATATATATATAATTTTTTATATAATGCTTATTGGCGGCACGGTGGCTCAGTGGTAACACAGCAAGAAGGTCGCTGGTTCGAGTCCCGGCTGGTTAGCATGGGTTTCCTCCAGGTGCTCCGGTTTCCCCACATTCCACACATGCGCTAAATTAGCTGTAGTGTATGAGTGTGAGTGTGTGTGTGTGTGTGTGTGTGTGTGTGTGTGTGTGTGTGTGTGTGTGTGTGTGTGTGTGTGTGTGTGTGTGTGTGTGTGTGTGTGTGTGTGTGTGTGAATCAGTGTGTATGGGTGTCACCCAGTACTGGCTTGCGGCTGAAAGGGCATCTGCTGTGTAAAACAGATGCTGGAATAGTTGGTGGTTCATTCCACTGTGGTGACCCCTCATAATTAAAGGGTCTAAGCCCAGGGAAGATGAATGAATGAAAAATGCTTCTTGATTCAGGAATTTATTAGATATTTGCTCTAGAAACAAGAAGAAAGAAAAGCATTTCTTGCAGTGTGTGTATATGTTGTGTTGTGTTGTGTTGTGTTGTGTTGTGTTGTGTTGTGTTGGGGATTTGAGCAGTGGTGTGTCTGTTTGCTAGCCTGACTGCTGTCATAAGGAAACATGATGCTATAGTTTCCTAAAAATAACACACACGCAAAAAGAGGAGAGAAAAAAAGACATAGAAGAAAAAAACAGACCTTACATAAGACCTGTCTGCTGCTCTACACCTCCTGCCTCAAGTGCTGTTCTCCTGCACACACACATACACAAACACACACACACACACTTCTCTTTCTCTTTGTGTCCTAATTCTTGATTTGGCCACAGGATGGCGCCATGCACTTCAAATAAAAGCTGAATGTCTTGATTTCTTGATGTCCAGCTCATCTTTGCTCTGAACAGTAGATGTTCCTGTTCCTCTAATACTGATGTGATCTTGCTTTTTTTCAGGCTTGGAGGAACCATTTCGGCATACAAAATAGTTCCTGATGAAATCGATGAGATCAAGGTACGTTTTTAAGTAAAAATGATAATAATAATAATTTAAAAATGGCAAAAGATCACATTACAGAAAGCTTTAAAGGTTGTGCTACTGCTAAGTTTGGCATCAATAATATTTACTATCATTACTTTAAACTTTTGATAAACAATGATGCATTACATTGACCAGAAGGGATAGTAAAAGCATTTATAGTGTTACACAAATTACTATTGAAGAATATAACTTGTATATCAATAGTATTAATTGAAGAAAGTAGTGATGCTTTAAAAATGTCAGGATGTCTTAACAGGTTTTCTGAGGCAAAAAGTTTAACAAATCAATCCCTTTGTGTGTGTGTGTGTGTGTGTGTTCGTGCGTGCGTGCGTGCGCGTGCGTGCGTGTGTGCGCGCAATTATGTGCATGTAGTATGTGCGTGTCAATAATGGCTGTTTCTCAATATGCGTTCTTCAGCGGTCTTGCGTCCTTGTGTTCTCGTGCAACGTCATCATCAGCTGCCTAAGTTCAGTTCCAATACTCAAGACGCAAGTACGGAGGACGCGTGAAACTTCCCGGATGTGATCTTGATATCGAGGACGCACTGATGCAGACTTAAGCACCGAACTCTCTCTGGAAGTCCCAGAAGTCATTGCGACTGGAGTTGGGAAGCGCAGCATTTAATTTAGATTTATTATTAAAGTCCAGAGATATCACTTATTTACCTCAGGAGTTTCACTAAATAAAATGGTGAAAGTAAACATTAACATGAACATCTTAAAAAAGGAATAAACACATTGAGGGTGTTTGTTTGCTGAAATTCTTATTAAAATCTGTTTTATTTATATTGTGCAACATATATTTATAATTTTTTTATGCAAAGTATATATTTTGAAGAGAAGGGAAAACAATACATCGTTGTATGAATGCTGTAATGTTTAAATAATTTCCATTTAAAACGTGTGAAGGTCATGTGACCATCAGGAAGAACGCAGCATCTCAATTCTCAAAGGACGCATTCTCTGCCCTCGCGGTCTCCCGAGTTCGTTCTTCCGAGGACACCTGGCAAGACCGGTCTCCACAAGAACGCAAGTCCGTTCTCTGCGTTCTTGGAATTGAGAAACAGCCTATGTGTGCGCGCGCACAAATCTCTGTGTAACAGTCTGCGTGTGTGCTTTCATGCATGTGTGTGTGTTTTCTGACATTGTTTTCTTCTGTCTGCTTCAGGAGACTTTGGTGGACTGGTGTGATGAAAAAGAGTTGAACCTGATTTTAACCACTGGCGGCACCGGCTTCGCTCCACGAGATGTCACACCTGAGGTCAGTCCTGTTGCTTGTGCTTTATGAGGACATGCCTTGTGTCCTTGTAATTCAGAATAAAGATATCATACATTACGGGTTTGTTCACATTCAAAATTTGCCAAATGTTTCCTGCGAGGGTTGGGTTTAGGGGTAGGGTTGGGGTTGGCCATATAATAAATGTTTCTTACAGCATAACAAACACCTACACCACCTGACAAAGTCTTGTCGCCTATGCAAGTTTCAGGAACAACGATGTCTTGACTTCTAGTTAATCAATTAGTATCAGAAGTGGCTTATATGAAAGGCAAAGGCCTCTAGATGACGATTATTTGAGCACAATAAAATATGATCATGCCTTGATTATTAATAATTTCATTAGGACAGTAAGATCTGACTCTGCTTAGACAAAAATCTTGTGACTAAACAGAAATAATTTCCAGTATAGAATATAAAGCCATGCTTTCATATTGTGTCTGACTCCATCATGAGCTTGGAGGACTGCATCCATACATCTCTGACATGACTCAAATCACTGATTAATAAAGTCGTCTGGAATGGCAAAGAAAGCGTTCCTGCAGGACTCCCAGAGTTCATCAAGACTCTTTGGATTCATCTTCAATGCCTCCTCCTTCATATTACCCCAGACATGCTCAATAATGTTCATGTCTGGTGACTGGGCTGACCAATCCTGGAGCACCTACTTTGCTTTCAGGAGTTTTGATGTGGAGGCTGAAGTATGAGAAGGAGCGCTATCCTGCTGGAGAATTGTCCTCTCCTGTGGTTTGTAATGTAATGGGCAGCACAAATGTCTTGATCCCTCAGGCTGTTGATGTTGATCATCCACTCTGCAGATCTCTCGCACACCCCCATACTGATTGTAATCCTAAACCATGATTTTTCCTTCACCAATCTCGACTGATTTCTGTGAGAATCTTGGTCCATGCTGGTTCCAGTAAGTCTTCTGCAGTATTTGTGATGATTGGGATGCAGCTCAACAGATGATTCAGCAGAAAAATACACCTTCTGCCACTTTTCCAAATTATCAAGTAAAAGTCAAGTTATTATTTGTTGCTCTTACAACTGAGATCGACGACAAGACTTTTGTCAGGTAGTGAATGGAGAGTCTTTATAAAACACCAACATGTGTGTGTATCTTGTATTCAATAATTAATACAAGTCTAGGGGTATGATTCTCGCTTGGGGTGCGAGAGGTCCCGGGTTCATATCCCAGACAAGCCCCCACTTTGACCTCTAGGGTCAAGACCGCAACATAAAAAACCACCCGACAAATAAACATTTACATTTAGTCATTTAGCAGACGCTTTTATCCAAAGCGACTTACAAATGAGGTCAAGGAAGCAATTTACACAACTATAAGAGCAACAATGAAGGCAAGTTTCAGGTATGTAAAGAAAGTGTAAGAAGCAAAACATTAGTATTTTTTTTTTGAGGTAGTTAGTGGAGGGGTCAGAGAGGCAATTGCAGATTAGTAAGGAAAGTGGAGACTAAATAGTTGAGTTTTTAGTCGTTTCTTGAAGACAGCGAGTGACTCTGCAGTTCTGATGCAGTTAGGGAGTTCATTCCACCAATTTGGCAGATTGAGTGTGAGAGTTTGGGAACCACGAGGCAACGTTGATTCACAGAACCCAAGTTTCTGGAGGGCACATAAATCTGCAGAAGTGAGAGCAGAAAAGAAGGAGCAAAGCCAGAGGTCGCTTTGTAAGCAAACACCAGAGCTTTGAATTTGATGCGAGCAGCAACTGGCAGCCAGTGCAAACGGATGAGCAGCGGAGTGACATGTGCTCTTTTAGGTTCATTAAAGACCACTCGTGCTGCTGCGTTTTGAAGCATCTGAAGAGATTTGATAGAGTTAGCGGAAAGCCCGGCTAGTAGAGAGTTGCAGTAATCCAGTTTGGAGAGAACAAGAGCTTGAACAAGGAGTTGAGCTGCATGTTCAGATAGGAAGGGTCGGATCTTTCTGATGTTATAGAGTGCGAATCTGCACGATTGAGCAGTTCTAGAAATGTGGTCAGAGAAGTTTAGTTGGTCATCAGTCGTTACTCCAAGGCTTTTCACGATTTTGGATGCAGTAATGGACGCCCCATCCATCTGGATTAAGTGTATAAAATACACTTTAATGACTCTTTTGTGTCGGGTCTCTTTATTTGTCTTTTTTTTTTGTCTTTTTCTTTTTTGTTACCAAAAAAAAACATGAAGCCAACTACCTCTGAATGGACCCACAGAAAAATAATAAACACACTAATAAAGTACACACTAACTAAACACCCAAATGAAACGTACTACACCTAATAAAATAACAGAAATAAAAATACAAAATCTACACTTATCTCCCTGAATAAGAACAAAAACAGGTGAAAATACTTACAAAAAGAAAAGTGTGGCGTCCAACCCCTACTGCCTCTTACCATGTACAATATATATTTACAATATTAACAAACAAACCAAAAACAAAATTATAGGAAGGGGAAACACAGATGCATATACACAAAGTCAAAACTTACACAAGAATAACTTAATCACAACAATCTCAAACAACATGCCAACAAAACTCGCTCTCCCGCCCCGCGCCAGTTGCTCTCTTTTTAAAGGACGCCTTGGGTAACCTCCTCCAATCCCAGGGCACGTTTGCCTGCGTAGTTAGGGCGGGGCCTGAAGGTGGAAAGAGAGGGAGAGAGAGACAGACACACACACACACACACAGACAAACACACCTGTTAACGCAACAATAACAAAATGTCCCCACAACTTTAGCAATACCAGTAAATTTTGACCTTGTGGGGACATTTTGTTGTTGTTGTTGTTGTTCCTTATGAGGACAATGGCTCATAAACTTAATTATTATATTTAATAGAGAGACAAAATACAAAACTGACTCCTGTTTAACAGTGGTTTTGAACAATAGTTTAGTATTTCTCTTCAAAAAAGAGAACTTGTTCAACTCTCTCTCTTTCTCTTATATGCTTTTGTTCCTTCTTCTCTCTCGATCCCGCCTCTAATGATGCTTGAAGTGTCACTCAAGGAAACATGAACACACACAATGATGTAATGCAGAGATTAGTAGAATAGTCCAGGGTTTTAATGTGACCACTCTGTTGATTCTATGTGTGTGTGTGTGTGTGTGTGTGTGTGTGTGTGTGTGTGTGTGTGTGTTTGCACGCGTCTCTCTCTGTCTCTCTCTTCAGGCCACTAAAGAGGTGATCGAGCGAGAAGCTCCAGGGATGTCTCTGGCGATGCTGATGGGCTCTCTGAACGTCACTCCTCTCGGGATGCTCTCCAGGTCTGCCTTCAGACATGTGATTGGCTGATTAGAAATTTTCGTTTACGAGCAATTAGACTGGTGTACCTTATAAAGTGTCCAGTGAGTGTGTATATATAATAGTATTTAGCAGTATAGTAAATTAATGAGTTGCTTTTTCAATTGTGTGTGCAGACCTGTGTGTGGAATCAGAGGGAAAACTCTCATCATAAATTTGCCTGGCAGTAAAAAAGGCTCACAGGTAAGTATCGCTTTACTCTGTTATGTATTTATACATTACGTCTTATTACTGGTGTACGCACTCCATTAGAAAAGACAAAGTTCCAGTGTGGTGCTATTAAAGTTCTTGTATAATAAATGAGAAATGGGAGCGAATGTGAAAGTTTAAATATTATGGTTATCCTATATCAACTTAATATTTTCTTCCGTCTTCTTTTTCTTCTTAGACTATTTTAAGAATGCATCTCCTCCTAGACCTTTTAAGCTAGAAACGCCAAACTTACTCCAAACCTCCAAACTGGTCTGACTTGTGTTGCTATATCTTTTTAAACTGATCCGACTCACAGTTTTCCCAAAACTATCACGGAAAATTCTGAAAAATCCCACTGACTTAACAACAATTTGTGACCTTAAAACTTTGCGCCAGACTGTCTTACCGACTTAAGGGTGGGCTCATTAAACTCAGACTACCAATCTGCCAATCACTGACCTTTCAACATACTAGCCACACCCTAGAAACCATTTACGGCACCCTAGCAACTGTCCCATAAACTTCCATTATAGAAAACTGCAATTGACTTTACATTGAACATACTAACAACATACCATACCTTACTAGACAACGGCCTAAAACATCTTACCAACCGCCTAGCAACATCTTAGTAACCACCTAGCAACATCGTCGCAACCACCTAGCAACTAATTAGAACACCCTATCAATGTTCTAGAACACCTTAGTAACCACCTAGCAAGATCTTAGCAATTACATAGCAACCTCCTAGCAACACCTTAGCAACCACCTAGCAACGCTTTAGCAACCACTCAGAACACCCTTGTAGTCTCGTAGCAACCACTCAGAACACCTTAGCAATCGCCTAGCAATGGCTTAGCAACCTATCAGAACTGCCTAGCAACACCTTAGCAAACACTAAAAACAACCTAGCAACCGCCTAGCAACTACTCAGAACACTCTAGCAAATATCTAGCAACCACCTAGCAATGCCTTAGCAACCACTTAGAGTGACCAAGCAACTGTCTAGCAACACCTTAGAAACACCTAAGCAAACCATTCAGAACTACCTAGAATTTGCCTTGCAACCACTCAGAACACCCTAGCAATTACCTAGCAACCACCTAGCAACATCTTAGCAACCACATAAAACACCCAAGCAAGCGCATAGCAACAACTTGCAACCGCCTAGCAATACCCTTACAACTACTTCGAACAGCCTAGCAACTGTTTAACAACACCCTAGCAACACCTCAGCAACCAGTCAGAACAACCTAGCAGTCGCCTAGCAACCCCTCAGAACACCCTAGCAATTACCTAGTAACCACCTAGCAACGGCTTAGCAACCCCTCTGAATAACCAAGCAACTGTCTAGCAACACCTTAGCAACCACTCAGAACAACCTAGCAATCACCTAGCAACCCCTCAGAACACCCTAGCAATTACCTAGTAACCACCTAGCAAACACCCTGGCAAGCGCATAGCAACAACTTGCAACCGCCTAGCAACACCTTAGCAACCACTTAGCAACACCCTTACAACTACCTTAAACAGCCTAGCAACTGCCTAGCAACCGCCTAGCAACCACTCAGAACACCTTAGCAACTGCCTAACAACACCTTAGCAACCATTCAGAACACCCTAGTGACCACCTAGCAACGCCTTAGCAACCACTCAGAATAACCAAGCAACTGTCTAGCAACACCTTAACAACCACACAGAACTAACTAGCAATCGCCTAGCAACCACTAAGAACACCCTAGCATCTACCTAGCAACCACCTAGCAACATCTTAGCAACCGCATAAAACACTCTAGCAACTGCAAAGCAACAACTTGCAATCGCCTGGCAACACCTTAGCAACCACTAAGCAACACCCTTACAACTACCTTGAACACCCTAGCAACTGTTTAGCAACACCTTAGCAATCGTCTAGCAACCGCTCAGAACACCTTAGCAACTGCCTAGCAACACCTTAGCAACCATTCAGAACACCCTAGCAACCTCTTAGCAACACCTTAGCAACCATTCAGAACCCGCTATCAACCGTCTAGCAAGAAACATGCCAATCCATAACAGAAACATGCTAACACATATGTACTTCTCTATCTATGCCAACTCAAACTTCTTAAAACTACTTCAGTTATTTAAACTTTTTAAACTACTTCAGACTTTCAGACGTGGCTTTCTCAAGACACCATAAAGTTTGTTAACAATCTTTACTCTTTTAGTTCTGTTTGTGGCCTTCCTTTGTGGTCTCGGTTAAATATACATGAATAAATTCTAAATTTAAATAATTGTCCAGCCCCCTCTGAAACATCCCATAATGGTTTACTTAAGGGTCATCATTTTTTCATCGCAGCTTTATTTTAAACAACTTTATTTGAATTATTATTTTAAACTTGTTTTCTCTTGATTTATCTTCAGGAATGCTTCCAGTTCATCCTGCCGGCTCTCCCGCACGCCATCGACCTGCTTCGGGAAGCAGTGGTGAAAGTGAAGGAGATTCCCAATGAGCTGGAAGACCTGCCGTCCCCTCCACCACCGCTGTCCCCGCTGCCCGCCAGCAGCCCGCACCGGCAGACGGAGGACAAGGGCGTCCAGTGTGAGGAAGAGGAGGAGGAGAAGAAGGACAGCGGTGTGGCGTCCACAGAGGACAGCTCCTCCTCGCACATCACCGCCGCATCCATCGCTGCCAAGGTAAAAATTAAGATGGATGTGAGCATTAAGGCTGCAAAACATATCGTTTTAGCATCGATATCGCAATGTGTGCATCTGCAATAGTCGCATCACAGGATCTGCAATGTTGAATTGGTAATATCGTTGACGAGAGAAAGTAAAAAAAAAGATTTCATAAATTATATTATATTATATTATATTATATTATATTATATTATATTATATTATATTATATTAGGGGACGCAGTGGCGCAGTAGGAAGTGCTGTCGCCTCACAGCAAGAAGGTTGCTGGTTCGATCCTCGGCTCAGTTGGCGTTTCTGTGTGGAGTTTGCATGTTCTTCCTGCGTTCGCGTGGGTTTCCTCCTGGTGCTCCGGTTTCCCCCACAGTCCAGAGACATGCTTTACAGGTGAATTGGGTAGGCTAAATTATCTATAGTGTATGAGTGTGTGTGTGAATGTTTGTGTGGATGATTCCCAGAGAAGGGTTGTAGCTGGAAGGGCATCCGCTGCGTAAAAATGTGCTGGATAAGTTGGCGGTTAATTCTGCTGTTTCAACCCCAGATTAATAAAGGGACTAAGCCGACAAGAAAAGGAATGAATGAATGAATATTATATTATATTATATTATATTATATTATATTATATTATATTATATTATATTATATTTTTATATTATATTATATTATATTATATTATATTATTTTTATTATACTATTATGTTATAATATATTATATTATATTATATTATATTATATTATATTATATAATTTTTATTATACTATTATATTATAATATATTATATTATATCATATTATATTATATTATATTGTATTATATTATATTATATTATATTATATTATATTATATTATATTATATTATATTATATTATATTATATTATATTATATTATATTATATTATATTATATTATATTATATTATATTACATTTAATTTGTGGTTATTTGACATGTCTTTGTTGGACATTTGCAGGTGTCATTTCCATCATAAAACTATGTGTCATCTTCATGTGTGCTGCACCTCCTTGAGTGACTGTCATCATCATCTTCATCATCATCTGTCTGATTGTTGTCTTCCTCATACAGTATGTCATGTCTCTTGAACAACAATTCACCCGATTGTATGTGCAAAAAGAGCGTCTATTTGTAATTGTTGTAACTAGTGTGTACAAAACACAACAGTCGTGTTGCAAAAGTATTAATAAAAATATTGAAAATGTGTTAGACACCTTTTTTGAAAGAATGCTACATTATAAACCGTATAACTGCAGGTTAGCTATGTATATATATTGTCAATGTATACACAACTATTCTGATTTTGACTATAATGTAATAAGGTGCACTGTTTGTCAAGCTGATTTGGAACGATAATTTGTTAAAGCGTTATCTAATAACCATGATATAAAATTTGCACTTTGTCCTACTTATGACACTGCTATTTGCTAAAAAAAACTTCAAAATTAGACAAAAATAATTGTCCTGAGCCATAATAGTTTAATAATTCTGTAATGAATTGCAAAGCTGATGAAAACGAAAACAGCTAGAGTATACACTGCGCATTATTCAGCCACAAGATGGCGCTAAACAGTCAAAAACACTGAAGAGATTTATTTTGAGAAAACAACCGCCTGGATGCACGTTATCCTGCTTATTAAATGGCTACATGCAACAAAACTTTTCATAATTATTATTTTTCATAATAGTTCATTTTACGCTGACAGAAACGAAAACAGCTTATGGAGTATACACTAACCTGCTCATTGTTAAGACACAAGATGGCACCAAAGAGATTTCGTTTCTGTCAGCTTTGCATTTGACTGTTTGGCGCCATCTTGTGGCTGAATAATGCGCAGGTTAGTGTATACTCCATCAGCGGTTTTCGTTACTGTCAGCTTTGTGTTTTTGACTGTTTGGCGCCATCTTGTGTCTGAATAATGCGCAGGTTAGTGTATACTCCATCAGCTGTTTTCGTTTCTGTCAGCTTTGCATTTGACTGTTTGGCGCCATCTTGTGGCTGAATAATGCGCAGGTTAGTGTATACTCCATCAGCGGTTTTCGTTACTGTCAGCTTTGTGTTTTTGACTGTTTGGCGCCATCTTGTGGCTGAATAATGCGCAGGTTAGTGTATACTCCATCAGCGGTTTTCGTTACTGTCAGCTTTGTGTTTTTGACTGTTTGGCGCCATCTTGTGTCTGAATAATGCGCAGGTTAGTGTATACTCCATCAGCTGTTTTCGTTTCTGTCAGCTTTGCATTTGACTGTTTGGCGCCATCTTGTGGCTGAATAATGCGCAGGTTAGTGTATACTCCATCAGCGGTTTTCGTTACTGTCAGCTTTGTGTTTTTGACTGTTTGGCGCCATCTTGTGTCTGAATAATGCGCAGGTTAGTGTATACTCCATCAGCTGTTTTCGTTTCTGTCAGCGTAAAATAAACTATTATGACTCAGAACAGTGTTTTGTGTCTAATTTTAAAGTTTTGTTGCAAGTAGCCATTTAATAAGCCGGATAAAGTACATCCAGGCGGTTGTTTTCTTAAAATAAATCTCTTCAGTCCTGTACAACAGTGCTCCGCTTAACATTGGTCTGCAAATAAATCTGTCTGTTTTTATTCCGAGATAACAACCTCCTGGATGTACTTTATCCCAAACTACAATACATGTCCCATACTGTAAAGTGTCACAACATAAACAGCTATTAAAAATAAAACTTCCTCCCTTGTGCGTCAGATTCCGGACTCCATCATCTCAAGGGGCGTCCAGGTTCTTCCGCGGGACACGGCGTCTCTGAGCACCACACCGTCCGAGTCTCCTCGCGCTCAGGCCACCTCTCGCCTCTCCACCGCTTCCTGTCCCACGCCCAAGGTGAGCTCCGCACTTCCTGTTACCTGTCCCGCACTGTTGGCTTCCTGTCTGCTGTTCCTCCCTCCTGCTCACCCGCTGCTGTTCTCCACCTTCACCTTTCACCCCCAAACCCTCACTGTCCCATCTGTGTGTGCGTCCACAGTAGGCATGGCCGGTATAAGACTCTGATGCTATGATAATCTTGGATTAAAATATCACAGTATTGTGATTACTGCTCTAAAATAGGTTCTGGGTGTAATCTCTGAGTAAAAAACACACATTTTTTCCACTGTTGAACACAATATTATTTATTTTAAGAAATATTTTAGATATTTTGGAGCAGTAAACATGTCAGGGTAAATAATTTAAATAAATCATCGACTTCTGCTGTCTTCTTTAGTGTCAAAAACACAGATATCTATACAACTTGAAAAGGCATCTCTGGATATCTGACGTTTCTTTGGATATAAAGTAAAGCCACTGCACTGTTCAGCTCTACAGCATGCTGGGATGTTGGTTTAAAAGCATTTTAAAATGTTTCCTGAATTGTTGGTTGACCAGTAGATTTTGATGTGTGATGGTCTTTAGCTGCTGGAGAAACTGTTGCACTAAAAAGCTAAAGAAAACTGTGTATACCATAGGAACCTGCTGTTGGGTCAGGTGAAACAGAAGGTCCTGAGTCCTCTCTGCAGTCTGCAGGTTGATGGACCAGGTCCACTACGTAATGGACAATCACCTACACCTTCCCCAATCCTAAACCCAACCATCACAGTAGCATGGGCATTACCTTAGTGGGAGGTACAATGTCCACTACGTAGTCGAGCTGGTCTAGTACGTCATCGTGGTTACACAGGGTGTCTGCGGGGTCTTAAAAAGTATTGAAAGTTGATAAATCAATTGTGACAAAATTAAGGCTCTTAAGTCTTAATTGCATTTTTACAAGTCTTAAATTTTGTTCAAGTGTTGTCCAAAGTGTTTGACTCCAAAAAAGCATAGATATAGTTACATTGTTCTTAATGTTAACAACAGCGTGCTCGATCAATGGGATTGATTTGGGCTGGGGCGTGCCTGGAAAAGCTTCTTTGTCTGGGTGATGTCACGTAATTTGCGTCAAACGCAGGAAAGTGATGTGACACTCTCCACATGTAGCGAAACCATACAGTGAAACAGACGGCAAAACGGGAGAATGTAACTTTGCGTACTTCTAGTTGGAGAAAGACGTGTTCAAACAGTGGCTGAAGCCTGCCGCTGAAAACACCAGTAAGTGACAGCACCGACATTCACGGAGCTGTGAGGCCGGTGTCTAGCCAATGAAAGTAAATTAGGAATTCTTCCTGTTTTACGGTGTTCGTGAACAAAGATTTTGATGCGTTACTGCCACCTCTGGTTGGCGACCTCACCAACCGCAACTTGCTTGATGGAAAGATGACTGAGGGAGAAGTACATGTTAAGATGCAATAACTTACTTTTTCAGAGGTTGCGTTAACCGAATATTTTCCATCATTGACAGATTTTTCTCAGCAGTGATGGAAAAATCGGCAGGTGATCCGTCATTTTGATGGATTATGCTGAAGGCCATCTATTGTAATTTGTAGCTAACTGTATTGTACACTAATTGTTCCCACTCCTGTCCAGCTGATGGCGATTGTCCATATTAATTAGCAATTGTCTTGTTTTGTCGGCATCAAGGAGGTCGGGTGTTTTGGAGTAGAGATCTGCGCGGGACTAAATTTTGAATCCCGCTCCCGCCGGCACCCGCCAGGTTTTAGCCCGAACCCGACCGCTCCCGCTTATATTAACAATTTATTGTCCCGCTGCCCGACCCGCCCTGTTTTCTGGCCGCCGCACCCGATCCCGCTAAAGAGCGGGGGAGAACAAAACCGAAAATCCCCCAGCTATACAGTCCAGACAGCCAAGCCAAGCCAAGCCAAGCTGTCTGTATAAACACACACACACACAGCACCAAGCACACACACACACAGACCAATCTCTCTCTCTCATACGCGTGCGCGCACTAACACACACACTAGTACCAAGCAGACACACAGGCGTTTGCTGTTATATCAACTCAAAGGCTTGTAATACCATGTATCAAGTACCAAAGTAATACCAAAAGGTTTTTTATAAAGGTATATAAATACTGAGTCGCGCCAGCTCCGGGTCGCAGCGCACATTACTCTCGGGCCGATTCCGGCGCGGATGCGGCAGCGTCGGCTCGCTTACGGCCGCCGCATCTGGCCCGATTGATTCGGGCTGGAATTGGGCAGTGAGTCCACAAGCATCCGGCAGCCGGAGCTGGGCTGAGTGGTAAGTTTCCGGCAGGCGAGAATCTAGCCGGAACTGGCCCGAGTGCATTTTGCTATCTGGGAAAGCTCTCTCTCTCTCTCTCTCTCTCTCTCTCTCTCTCTCTCTCTCTCTCTCTCTCTCTCTCTCTCTCTCTCTCTCTCTCTCTCTCTCTCTCTCTCTCTCTCTCTCTCTCTCTCTCTCTCTCTCTCTCTCTCTCTCTCTCTCTCTCTCTCTCTCTCTCTCATTCGCGCGCGCGCACTAACATACACACACACAAGCAAAGCTCTCTCTCTCTCTCTCTCTCTCTCTCATTCGCATAGCAATATCCGCGATATTGCTAGACAGCCCGCTCCCGTCCCAAATTAAACCCATTACGACCGCTCCCGCGATTTATTCGGAAATTTATTCCTGCGCCGCAGAAATCTGGTCGGTCCTGCGGCGCCCGCGGGACAGCCGCGGGAATGCAGACCTCTATTTTGGAGCGCATTTGTGTGCACTATGAAACGCAGATGGGTGCAGCCACGCCCCTGGTGCAGAAAGAGTGCGTGCTGAGGATCTTTTTCTCGGTGAAATGAGAGCTTGCAGGATCAGTAAATCCAACATTCAGAGAATCCTGCAAACTTCTCATCACTTTCGCTGAAGTGGCGCTAGTAATTCTCCAGAGTGGCAGCCGAAGCCTCCAGAACAAAATTAAAACTGTCACAAGAAGTTTCCGAGGCAAGTTCCCGCGGACCAGGAGGAAGATACGAGTTAAGGCAGATAGGCCTACAGAACATCGTCTGAAGTTATATTTTTAAGTTACGTTTTTATTTTAGTCTGAATTCTATTTTGTAACATTTTGTTGTTTATACCTGCATGTGTTCAGGCACAAATGGTCTGTTTTAATTCCCTCTGCTGTCAGTGCAACAAAATAAAAAACATACAGTTGTTGAACAATAAATTAGAGTCAAAGTTTTTGTTCATTTGTCGAATAAATAAATTAGTAATTTAGCCTATTCACCTTATTCTCAGCTGACGAGCGGGCGCTGCCATTTGAATCTTTTTGTCTCGAGACTTCCGGTCACATTCACTTCCATTCATTTTTTGACGTTAACAACTGCTCGTTACGCTGCTTGATGTTGCAATTTAATATTTTCTTATTATATTATGCTACTTGGTCTGTGTAGTCATGCAAACATTTGTTTGTAGAGCAAGTAGTTTGGCCATTTTCTGCCGTTTATTATTCCTAGTCATTTCTCCCATAGGCGACTGAATCGGAAGTTCTAAGACAATCGCGAAAACAGGCGCACTTCCGCATTTTAGAATAAGGTCAATATGCTTTTCATGCAAGTTCACGATTAAAATATGAATGAAAAAAGCGATAAAAAATATGCAGATTAAATGACGGGCAGTAATACGATATGACGGAATTTTTACAACCCTCTCTATCAAAATGACGGACAATAAGAAAGTCTAATGCAACCTCTGATATAGGGGTGTCAAAATTAATTGTTTCTTCGGTGCACCGTGATGCAGACGCGGACAATAAGGTATCGGTTCAGTAATAATCATAACCGGTTATTATGTACTGACGTCATTTATCTCCTATGCGCTCTGTCGCGAGGGAGGTGAGCGTGAGTATTTACAACACTCAGCCAACTCAGGGCCGGTCCGTGGCATAGGCACCATAGGCAAGGGTGCTGTACATGCAGGGGGCGCCAGAAAGCAGCGCGGTTCAGTTGGTTTTGTTTTCGATTTTTCTGACACACACAGTTATAGACTGCAATAACTCAAAAACTTCCTACCCTAAAAAGATCTAAAGTGTGTTTCCTACAAAAAGACAAAGCTGGTTATGTTTCACAGCTGTCTTTCTTTTTTTTCCCGCTTGACATTACGAGCACTGCCCCGTTTAAGCCCTCGCAATATGTGTTTAGCCGGGAGAGCTTGCGCTGAGAGGAGCTCTCAGTAAGGGAGTAAGTGTGTGTGTGTGCGTGCGTGCGTGCGTGCGTGCGTGCGTGTGTGTGTGTGTGTGTGTGTGTGTGTGTGTTTGTTTCTTTGGTGCTGTCTATGTTTGTGTATGTGTTTGAATGAGAGACAGTGTGGTGCTGTGTGTCTGTGTGTTTACAGACAGCTTGGTTTAGCCTCCCCCTAAAATATAAGACTGTATATGGAAAGCATCGTCAATGCACCGAGATATCGAATTGACCCAAATCGAAGGCATGATAATCGTAACCGAACCGAACCGTGAGACCAGTATAGGTTCACACCTCTACTCTGATATATATATATATATATATATGCATACACATACAATATAATGCTTGTTCCAATATATTTACCTTTACTATAAATTAATATAGTATTTTAAATGTGTTACACCTGGTTTTATAGTTGTTGTTTATTTACAGTAAATAACTGAACTGAATTATTCTGGCTCATATGTTTCATTGACAGTTTTATTGATCACTAAAATATGATTGACTTGGATTTAAGTTGCTTCGATTAAAACAAAAATGAAATTGTAAAAATAGCTTAGATGTAGCTAAACTACTTTTGCCATGTAGCTTTTAGCTTAGCTCGCTACATTTTCCAGGGGGTAGCTTTTAGTGCAGTTAAGCTACATTTTAAGTAGAGTAGCTAATAGCTTAGCTCACTACATTTTTCAAGTAGCTTGCCCAAAACTGTAAAAAGGTATTGGAATTACCTTTAGTATTCCTGCATATACCCTTTTACAGACTGCAGCGAGGAAATCTTGC